GTGCTATGAATGAAAGGCAATTTAACCCGCGCCCCGTTGGGCTCTGCCGAGCAACGCGCCCTGTTGGGGGGGGGGGGGGCAATTTGGCCCCCCCCCTAAGATCTCGAGAACCACGCAACCTAGCGACAAGCGACAAACGGTGTTGGATAGCCCTTTCAGGGAACTACTTTGTGACCCAATTTTATTGACCTAGGTCAAATCGATGACGTCACAGGTCAGGTCAAAGGTCGGATTTTCACCGTTTACAGGCATTTCAAGAAATGCGTTGTAAAATCGAGTAAAATGCATTTCATTGAAAATTATCGATGGAGAAATGTTCTTCAAACACATATTTTGCTATTTGAGTTCACTAATACCAGGTCAGGTCACAGAGGTCAGGTCACTTGGGGGTCACAACATGAAAGTGTCGTGTGATGCATGTTTTATGGTCCATTTTACATGACAAATGCGCTTATGTGGGTCAGGCAGCCTTTGGGGCCAGCTTGGGTTACGTTTTGGTTAAGGTCAGGTCAAGGTCAGGTCAAGGTCAGGTCAAATTAGGTCAAATTTCAAAGTTGATATTTTTGCATAAAATGGGTATCGAATTGATGCAGCTCGTCACGGGGAGTTCAATGGTGGTCTTTGTTTTGCCCTACGTGGTCTAGAATCGCTAAAAATTGAATTCAAAAATTTGACGTCATCATTTTTTAACAGTTTTTTCGCTATAACTTGGCCAAAAAACGAGATATCGATCTGAAATTTGGTATGTATATAGAAGAGCGCAGGGACTATCACATATAATCCGGTTTTTCGAAATTCGGAAAATCATTGGATTTTTTTTAGTTTTTATTTTAAAAAAATCAATTTTTGAATTTTTGGGGGTCAAAACCAAAACTTTTGAAAATCCGAGATAGCAGTTATGTAGCGCCACTTTTTGTTTACTAGACTATATAAAGAACTTTGAAATTGCTTGATAACTGTAGATTTGGTGAGCGTTTCATGATTGCATGTTTTTTGCTCATTTTTGCTCGAACATGACCTCAGTTTGACCTCAATAACTCCTGACCTAAGGTGACCTAAGACTTGAAATTTTGTGTGAAGGTGTCAAATTGATGCCCGGGAAGGTACTGAAAATTTGGTGGCGCTGCGCGCCGCCGTTTTCTTACTATTCAGGAAAAACCACAGGGGGGCCAAATTGGCTCCCCCGCCCCCCCCCCCCTCCAACGGGGCGAGGGTTAATGAGGATCATATTAATTTCATGCAAAATCTTCCCAGGTTTAGAAATGATGTGTCGGTATCGAACAAAGCGTTAGGGTGGCCACTTTGTTCCGGTCTCCCTAACTCAATCTCACAGTTCCCGCTCTGAGCGCTTTCTGTGTCATGCGGCACAGCATAGTGACAGGCGTTTACCACTAGCGCCATCTATGAACATGAATATTAAATCATGCAGTTAGGTATAGTGCCGCGCAGCGTTTGCTGACCGATATCGTCATGTTGCATGGATAATTGCACTGTGCAATATGCATTGCACTTTTTCTCGTTATTAGACGAACTTTCATTGAAAAGGTGTACCTAATCGCTTAGTGTGTTTCAGTGAAGTAGTCTGTCATAGGTAGGTAGATTATCACGGTCCTAGCGTCGGAAAAACAGGAGATGCAATTATCTAGGCAGGGGCGGATCCAGGAATTTTCGGGAGGGGGGGGGCGGCAAGTCAAAATAGGGGGCGACCTGGCAAATTTTCATTTCTGGGGTTGGTGCATTGCGCCCAGGGTATATTGACTTACTTATTAAGTCAATAGTCAAATTATAACTGACTTGCTGGCTTGCAAATATTTCTTTATTTTAATTTTTAAAGGTAATTAACTACACGGCAGTGAAATACCAAAATAGTGCAGTAAAATAGGATTGGCATTTGGCAATGATCGGTTGCGCCGCATTGCGCAATCTTTGCGCAAAAGAATTTATGCAATTGCAGAATATACTGATTGCAGACACAAAAGTGCAGCTTGGGCCGTGGTAGATAGATGGGGCCGTGCCACTGTTATAGATACTAAAGCAACATGAAGTCCTAAGGCATTGGCTTCGGCAGTGCATACTTGTGTAGCCACGTCTCAACTCAAGAACGTCACAACTGTCTTTTCTCAGTGAATATAAAACAAACCGTAATCTTACCTAACCTAACCCTACTCAAGATTCTTCAAGATAACTCTACCTACAAGCTGCAACCTACCAACCTACCAAGCTACAACTCACAGGCCACAACCTACAATAACTGGTGGCGGGTGGTGATCATTTCAATCATTTATTATACATGCCAGTGCTGGAAATTAGGCCGCTTTCTGGTCCTGGCGTTTTATTCTCCGGGCGAGTTAATCACGTCCAGCGTTAAGCCTTTCGGGACCCACTCAGGGTCGCGGTTGTTTTCACCGATCGCCCAAGTCGAGATGCAAAGTTAATAGTCACACAAAGCTTATTTAGGGCCAGCCAAACCAGCCTAGTCTGGAGTTACTGTTAACCCACGCCCCGCTGGCAGGGGACAGAATCTGCCCCCTCCCGTTTTTCGCCAATAACTTCTAAACGCGGTACGCCAGTGACATCAAACTTTCAGTAGTTACCTACCTTATCATATCATAAAATGAATGTGATTGCGTATGACTGTTAGATGGATGGATGCTGGTCATCGTCATCGTCATGCGTTTTAGCAAACATCACCAGGGGCAGGCAAGGCCATTCTTTTGCAACTGTGATTGTGTCGCATGAATATATGAATATATATGATACATCAATTTGACACGTTCCCTGAAAATTTGAGCGAAATCCGTTGGAAATTTTTTGAGAAATTAATGTTTTAGTGACGTCATGTTCGCCATTTTCGCCTAAAAAACAGCAAAATTTCAAACGCCGCTAACATCTTCATTTGTAAAGGAATCAAGACGTAACAAAGAAGGTTATACGTGATTCTACTTTGTCTATCAAATGGCCATCTTGGTTTTTTGAAAATTTTGGATTTGGGCCCAATTTTTTTCAAAAAACTGACTTGGGAAAATAATTATAAAATCCAAAATTTTGAGCGTATCGAAACAATCGGAATATATGTCCGAGAAGTGGTCTATGTGCACCTACATACCAATTTCTAGAATAATCGGTTAAAAAATGTGGGAGTTATTCCAAATTTTAGGACGTCACGACACATAAAAATTTTGAAAAATGATTTTTTTGAAGTTCTAGACCTCGAACGGAAACAAAAATAGCACCATTCGATTTGCCGTGAAAAACTGCATCAGATAGACATCTTCTTAGGCCCTAACAACCAACTTTAAAATTTGACCTCACTTGGCCTGACCTTGACCTGACCTCGACCTGAAATTCATCCAGAGGTGGTCCATATCACTTATGGAGTGTGCCAGTGCCTATTGAATTATATGAGTAAAATGACCCATAAAGCATGTGTCGCACATGCCCTTTTCTATACCGTAAAGTGGGGCTATTTGAGACAGTGGGGCTATTTGAGACAGTATTTAAAATCGCTATAAAATGAAGTTCGTTTGATTTATGTGTGATATTTTTGCTGAGGGAGGTGTGGAACCGAGCAGTAAATCGCCTGAGCAAAAAAATTAAGCATAAATTTTAAGTGGTTTTTATTTTATAGCATTTTTAAATACTTGATGTATTGAATGGTCGGTTTTGCCATGATCAAATAATTAAATATGGTGATGAAATTGACCAGTAACATGGCAGTAAGATGTATTTTTAAATAACAAAATGAGGCCGAAATATAGAACACTGCACGGCCATATTTCGTAAATATTTATATTTATATTATTATATTTTTGTAAATATTTATATTTACAGCAGTTCTATATTTCGGCCTCATTTTGTTATTTAAAAATACATCTTACTGCCATGTTACTGGTCAATTTCATCACCATATTTAATTTTTAAATACTGTCTCAAATAGCCCCACTGTCTCAAATAGCCCCACCTTACAGTATTTTCTTTTGGTGACCTGACCTGACCTGACCTTGAACTTGACCTTTGAATGACATTGCATGCAACGAATATTGTCTTGGTAGTCTAAGAACACGTTTTGGGCAATCAGTCCATTCTTCTGCAACTACGGTGCAAGGCCGATACTGTACCTGTAGAAACTTGCATTTTGTACCCTTGACCTGACCTCTGACCTACTTAAGCAAAAAAATTTGGGCTCTTAAGATCCGCCTTGTTGAGAACTTCCGATTGCCGTTTTCCCCGTCTTTCTACGACCATCGGTTCGGAAGTTAGACGGGGGCAGAATCTGCCCCCCCCCCCCCCCAGCAGGGCGCGTATGGCTGAATAGCCCAGTGGGGCGCGGGTGAAATGTATGCATATAGATGAAAGAAAAAGGTTTTGCAGAATCGATTAATTTCGAAGTCGTATATTCAGAGGCCCCAAATAAACTTTGTGTGAATATCAACTTTGTATTTCGAATGGGCCGAGTGGCGAAAACAACCGCGACCCTGAGTGGGTCCCGAAAGGCTAAGCGCTAGACGGGGCTAACCCAGCCGGAGAATAAAATGCCGCGACCAGAAAGCGGCCTCATTTCCAGCACTGTACAATTACATGACGCTTCTAAATTTCAGAAATTCTGACAAGAAGTGGCTCCAGTTAAACTGTCTCTGCTTTTAGTATCCCCAGTGCAGTGGCAGTTGGCTGCCTGAAGCACTGAAAGAGGCCTCTGATCTGAACCAAAATTATCATAACGTAACCTAACATAACCTAACATAACCTAACATAACCTAACATAACCTAATCCTAACATAACCCAACCCAACCTAACATAACCTAATCAACCACCTACTGAACACTTGAGGCTGAGCTTCTATGGCTGGTACAGGGTGACAGGTACCTAAGTTAATGGAACAGAGTGCTTTGCCAGTCCACAGCAAAGACCAACTGCTACCTGTTAGACTCTACAGTCTACACCTCTGAGCTGCATAATGTGCCACTCTGTGGCTGCTAGTATCTTTCGCCCGGAGACTGGAGTGACAGAAAGAGGTGGAGGTTGACATCAGTGGTCTGTCAGTGTCCCTTCCTGTCACTAATCTCATCTGTCTCCATTCCCTCTATATTCTGCAGTTGATTCAGGTTGTCAAGTGTTTTGGAAGCCATAGTTATAAGAGCAGCAGAGCATTCTGAACAGACCAGTAGCCAATACATGGGATATTAGGTCATGACTTTTTGTGCAACATAAATTGACATGGCCCAATGTCAAGCATCTGATAGTGACACTTCAGCATCTGATTTTCAGCATCTGACACAAGATAAAGCAAATGAAAAAGGCAGTAAGCTAAGGTAGAATTAGCTCATTGCAGCGTGGTTTGTGTTTTCACAGAGGTGTTTGAGGCAAGATACCTTTAAGCACTTTTGAGGAACTTCAGTTAACTACAATAGTGTTTTGTACAACATCAAAGGCACTACCAAGTACCAGCAATCTGTAGTTATGGCATGTAAAAGAGAGGCGCTGGGATGCATTGCTGGAGTGCAGGAGGTTATTTCCTACCTGTCTGGCGAGACAAGCTCAGAAGATACATCAAATGCCATGGATGATGACACAGGTGAGTGGATCATTTATTGGAAAAAGTTTAAAGTGTATATGATGCATATACACAGCACATCTTATTCAAAGGAAAATAATTTCTCTTCTCTAACAACACTCACATGCCCACGCCACAGGCTGGCCGGACAGCGACCCGGCGTCCTGGGGCTGGGGCGAGGAGGAGGCCATGGGCACATCGCCCACTGCCGAGCAGACTCCAGCGGGCGCCGGGGCCGCCACCGACCCCGACTGGCTGGACGCGGCCGCCGTGGCCGTCTCCCCGCTCGGAGATGTGCTGGCGGTGGCCACCGACCAGCGCGTGGTGCTGCTCAATGGTACGTCGTGGCTGTGGGAGTTGGAATTTTAGTGGCTGGTAAGTGTGAGCTGTGAGTGGTGCTAACCTGTGTCACGACAGTGTTCTGATGGTAACACATAAAGGCAGGGGGCCGAGGGCAATCGTTACCTATGTCCCCTTCTAACTCGGATCCTGGTTCACGTAGCGAGAAACGTTAAACGGTATCCAAAAAGTCGTCATAAAACACCGAACACGGGGAAAGTACTTAGCTATTTTGTAGAACAGGTCAAAGCTCAGGTCGCCAGAGGTCTTTAAAGCTCAAATTATCAAATTTTGAGCTTCTTGGACGCATTGTTCTGGTAACTTGGGAACTAGTGTTGATTGTCAACTTTCCAGACGAAACGTTGGAACGTTCTATAGTTTTTTCTCTGCTGTTTTTTTTAATATTTTTGGTGCCCGACTCGGGCTTTTGTCGTTAGTAGCACACATTAATACTGGGTTAGTACACTATATACACGGCGGTGGTACGGATCGTTTTCGGCACCCGCTACGTGGGACAGCCTTGACCGCACGCTTCCTGTCACGTGCCTCAGGTGGCACCGCACTGGTGCGCACGCTGGGGCTATCCCGATTTCTCGGGCCCGGCAGGTCAGAGGGCTGCTCCGGGACATGAAGCGAGGCCGTGCCCTCGGGACATGTCACCGGACCGAATGATCTGTTTAAAGGCGGATCAGGCCCGTGTACCTGAGGCCGGTGGCGCTGGTTGGCACAGCGGTAATCCCCACGACCGAGCGAACACTCCCCAGTTGCTGCCATCTCCTGGGTAGGAGCCGGCCGAGGAAAACGCTGCCAGAGGTCAGTTCTGATCCAAGGACCTCCCACACCGAACGTGAACGCACTTGCCAACTGCGCCACAAGGGTGTTTTTTTCTCTGCTGTTGTGTCTTCAACTTTGCTCTCAGGCAAACGCTATAGCTCACTTTCTTTCCCCCTCCCTTCCCAGGTCAGTGGGACTCGGAGAGCTCCCAGTCGCGGTTCACCGTCTCCGCTCGGCTGGAGGCGCCCGAGGCAGTGCCGGTGACGTCACTGCTCTGTCTGCCGCTAGCGTCCAATCAGCGCAGCTCGTCGGGCGCCGCCGACTGGACGTGTCTGGTGGTGGGGCAGCAGTCCGGACACCTCGTCTTCTATACAGAGGTAGGAAATGCTCTCAGCAGTCGGGCTTGGGACACCTCGCCTTCTACGCAGAGTCATTTACATAAGGTGCAGAAGATCCTGAATTTTGGTGCTAGGGTCGTCTCCGGAGCGCGGGTTTCTGAACATATTTCACCGGTGTTGAGAGCCCTCAGCTGGCATGACATTGCTGATCTTGTCGTCCACCGTGACTGCTCCACTGTGTTCAGGGCGCTGAGTGACCCTTGCGCTCCGGAGGCGATCCGCTCCTTATTCACTCGGCGAGCCGCTGTGTCGCAGCGCTCAACGCGGGCAACGTGTGCCGGTGTACTGGAGCTGCCGGCTTACCGGCTGTCTATGTCGCGCCGGGCCTTGTCGTACCGAGCGGCCTCGTCCTGGAATCGCCTGCCGCCTGCCGCCACCGGGTCTCGAACTAGAGCGGAGTTTTTACGACTTTTAAACTCGACATGTGACTAGCGTTTTGGTATTTTAGTACAATGTGTATGCGTGTGTGTGCTTGTGTTTTATATGTTTTTACTATTGTCATTGACTAGAAGCTTACACTAATCCATCATTGGAATGCTTCGCTAATACAATATACATGAGGGGATAGCCACACACCTAACTAACAGTCAGGATGTCGACTGACACCTCCCCTCTATCCCCTCCCCGACTATCCCCCTTCCTCCCCAGGATGGTTCGCTGATGTTCCGTCAGTGTCTTACACCCCTCCCCTCCCTCCCCCAGGACGGTTCGCTATTGTTTTGCCAGTGGCTGGTCCCACTCCTCACCACCAGCGACTGTCATCCCTCCCCTTCACCAGGGATTGACACCCACCTTCTCCCCCAGGACGGGTCGCTGCTGTTCCGCCAGCGACTGCACGAGTCGTCGGTACTCAGTGTCTCCTGCAGCAGTCGTCAGGTGTCTCCGACTGTGGAGGACGAGCTGACGGTGGTGTTCGAGGACGCTGTGGTGATGCTGGACGGGTTCAGCCTGTACCAGACGCTGAGGGCCTGCAGGAACCAGCTGGCCAGAGGTCAGAGCAAAGGGGGATGGGAAGGGCGACAATTTTTGTGGTTAGTCAGCCGTCAGGGAGGCGAGGCGTCTGCATTTTAATTTGTTGGTTCAATTCCTTCAAAGCGTCATTAGGAATAATGAATACGAGTTACTAGGCATGTTTCAGTATTGTCTCAGGTCCTGGCACCAGTCCCACCATCCTTAGTGCTCCCTATGGCCCCTGAGGCCCTCACTCTTCCAAATGCTCCCTCTGTTGCCTTGCGCCTTGCCCTGTTGCCGCGCTCTTCCCTCTGTCCTATGACGTGCAGCCTGGGGTCTCTATTGCTCCCTCCGTCTCCTGACGCCCATTGTCTGCACTCTGCGGTGTTCTCTCAATCCTCTGTCACCCGTCCCTCAGTCCCCAGTATTTCCTCTCCCCTGACGCCCTGCCCCCTGTTTCCGCAGTGCGCGCGGGCGGCGGTGGCGGCCTGGAGGTGCCGCCTCTGGCCCGCTCCAAGTGGGAGCTGCGTCTCCAGCAGCGCCTGGAGACGGCGGAGAACGTGGGTTTCCGCTCCACGGCGCTGTTTGACCACCTGCTGCAGCAGTCGCTGCACCGGCCCGGGGGTACGGTCAGCAGTGGCACAGTGCCGGCCGGATCACTGCTGGTCACCACAGGTCAGTAAAGGGACTGTGAGCTTACTGCTGGTCACCACCAGGTCAGTGGGGGGTCACTGGTAATTACCAATAGTCCGCATGTTAGTTGGGGTCTTGCTGGTGATTATAGGTCACCAAAGATCGTATCACTGCAGCTGGTCACCAACAGGTCGGTGGGGTCTTTTCTGGTCAGTATCAGGGTCTCTGCTAGTAATCACAGATCAGACAGGACTCGGTGAGCTCATTGCTGATCATCCTAAGTCAAATCATCGTTGGCCACTTCAGAGGGCTAGTGAGACATGGCGGTGAAATTATTCCCTTTTTTGTCATAGTACTGTCGGTGTTGTACCGTCTCAACGATACGGCAGCAGCTGATCTCCGTTCGCCGCTTTGTGCCGAGTGTTACGCTGCCGTGGCCTTGTTTGTGCTCGTCACTCTGTGCCGGGTGTAACGCTGACCCGGCCGCCCGCTGTTCCAGGCCAGTGTCCGTTCGTGGGCTTCTTCCACGCGGCGGAGGGCGTTGAGCAGGCCCGCCTCGACCAGGTGTTCCGCGGAGTGGCTTCCAAGGTCAAGGACACCGTCTTCTCCACGCTCGGGTAGGTCAGGGCGGGGTCACATTAATGTTTTTTTTTGGGGGTGGGGTGGGGGAGGGTACTGTGTAGCTGCATTGCGTGACAGCCTGGCCAGAGCTGTGCAGTGCTTCTGCCAGTGCCGCTTGGCAGGGTGAGGGGAGGGAAGGGAGGGGGTGGCTGCTGAGGTCATATCGGGATCATATTTTCTATAATAGTTGTCACCCCTAAGTAGGTATAGACTTGGTCCTGGCTGGTGATTTGAGGTAACAGTAGTCATTGTGCCTTATGTGATGGTTGTCAGAGAGATGCACAACGGATGAATCGATAAATGGTAAGAAGTGTAGGAATCATGTGTGTTGATCTATAACTATTTTTTTGCACACTTTAGTTGAGTAACTTTCGAAACATAAAGGGAGCGGGAAAGTCTAGGCATCCATCTCAACAAATTTACTCACGGAATCTCATCTCGAGGTAAATATCTCAGGTGCCGAACAAAAAGACAAGTCATGTCGAGTTGTGATGTACATACATTTGCTGATTTGCTGACGATACGTTTGCTGATTCCAGGAGTTTCTGGTCGGGCGGCCCGAACCAGAAGGACCCTTCCAAGGATCGGCCGGAGCTGGAGCCTGGAAAACCAATCGACTGCAAGTGGGTGACGGACGGTGGGATGAGTTGTGTGATTTGGTACAATTGTACAGCTTCCGCTGACAGTTGAAAATCGTAGGCTGTCACCGGTGGCTGAGGGATGGAACTCTTTATTTGGTGATACGATGTGAATTAAAGGGATATGAGTGGAGTTTGATGCGTGCCATTGGTTTGTAGCATAGTGGTGTTATGAGGTTATCGGTGGAGCCAACAAATAACTAAATGAAAATGGTAAAAAAAAAATGTTGGCTCCACCGATAATCTCATAACACTTAATATGTCCTTACATAATCAGCAACTGTTTGTAGCATAGCTCCTGGTAACGTAATGCATCACATCTCAGATCGGCTTAACATTGCGTTGATCAGCTCAGCATTCCCCTCCGCCCGGCAGGTTCGGTTTACCGGACGTACAGCGCCAGGGTCAGGTGATGGCGCTGTCACGTGACCGTCAGCTGAGCGCCGTCACCGACAGTTTCGGCCGCGTCACGCTGATCGATAACCACGCGGGCGTGGCGCTGCGCATGTGGAAAGGTGGGCCGCCTCCCACTCAGCTCGAATGGGAACTAACCAACGAACGAACGAATGATGAAAAGATGAATTAATAAATGAATGAATGAATGAATGAATGAATGCACGAAAGGCTGGTATTGAACCCCGTACAAATTGTCGAAATCGTCTGTAAGAGGTTGGGAAAATCGATTTCGTTTTGTGCCAGGCTGCCGTCGTATCCTCATTTTCCAATCAGGACACTGCCGCCCTTATGCGCCGCGAGGAGGGTCTCGTCACACCCCTGTCCGTCTCCAGGATACCGAGACGCCGAGTGCGGCTGGCTGGAGGTGCGTGAGCCGCGCCCCTCGGGCCGCCGCTCCGGGTCCAGCTCCAGCTCCAGCTCCGGGTCTGGCTCCGGATCCAGCCGCCGGACCCGGTTCCTGGCGCTGTACGCGCCCCGCCGCGGCCTGCTGGAGGTGTGGTCGGCGATCGGGGGGCCCAAGGTGGCCGCATTCAACGTCTCCAAACACGGCAGGTTAGAGCTGAACCGGTCGAGCTGGTATGGGTGGTATTGTTTTGGATCCTACCTATGTGATTTACATTAAGATGAACCTGCTAGGAGGCTTCATTATCATTTCAATATTACTTTATGGACAATTTAATTTTGTGTTGTTTTTTAGACGACCTTTCTCTATATTTTATACAAGTCACTTTTCATGTAAGTTTTCACTAATCTATCTGGCCTGGTCTGTCTACCTTTCGGCCGTTCGGTTCAACATGACACATCTGTCCCTTTGGCCGTTCGGTTCACCGCAAGCAACATCGTCCATTGCCCGCAGACTGGGTGTTGACTTGTATAACACCTCCCCGTGTCCACAGACTGGTGAACTTATCCCCCTTCTCCACAGACTGGTGAACTTATCCCGCCTGTCCACAGACTGGTGAACTTATCGCGCCTGTCCACAGACTGGTGAACTTATCCCGCCTGTCCACAGACTGGTGAACTTATCGCGCCTGTCCACAGACTGGTGAACTTATCCCGCCTGCCCGCAGACTGGTGAACGTGGCGCACGGCCTGGTGGGCGTCACGGACCAGGAGGGCGGCGCCCGGAAGGCGCCCAAGCTGCTGCAGTGTGTGTTCCTATCGTCAGACGGACGGCTGTTCACGCTCAACGTGCCGTTCCACCTAGCTCTCAGGTGGGAGTTCGCGACCGAGAAAGGAGCCGATGGTCGCAATGATCAGAAGGATGAACGCTAGAGATCTATATACTGCCTGTAAGAGTGGGCGAAATTTAGTGATGTGCACAGTGTAGTCGCGGTTGTGTAGTCGCGGTTTGTCATTGTTTCTCAACTCGGTAGGTTCAAGGTTGAGTTGTGATGATGTTTTGATAGCGATAAACATAAAATTCTTCTATTATTGTTAATCCTGTCGTCATGCTTTTAGACTGAATTTGCCACTGAATGCACCCGCCATTAGAAATGTTGTACAATGTCTAAATATCCCGGCTTCTGTTCTCGTTTCCACCCCTCTACTCCTCCCCGCTCTCTCCCACAGTGAGCGCAGCAGTCGTCGCGCCCACGGCCAGCACCTGCTGCGCGAACTGCGCACCCAACTGCGCGCGCCGCCGCCGGACGCAGCCGGCTACCTGCGCAGTCAGCTGAGCGCGCTGCGCACGGCCGGCGCGCGCCAGCAGGCGCTGGAGGCGGTGCTGTCCTGCCGTCGACTGACCAGCGCTGATATGGAGGCTGCTGTGGACGCCGTGCTGGATGCCTACACGGGCCACGGTAGGAGAACGGGTACCAATGGGATGAGGAGTGGGGTGCTGGTTTAAAAAAGAATGGAAGCCCTTGCATGTTTCCTGTTATAGCTGATGACGAAATTCGTGAGCTTATGTAACAGAACCTTGTAAAACGTGTAAATATGACGTTTTTTACACACTGGTATCCCTATCTACACTTGACATTTCTAAACTACCTTTTTGGAGAAAGCTCAGCACCTGCACCTGCGTTCACGCCCTGCCGTGTTCTTCACCATGCCCTAACCCACCCCGCCGTAGCGCCGTCTGCCCCCAAAGTCATACCGTGTTTAACTCTCCCGGTGCCGTCTTCCCCAGAACCTTCCGCGCTGAGCCACGAGTGTCAGTCGCTGCTGCAGACCGCGATGGCCTACCGACGCCTGCTGAGTGCTTACGACGTGCTGGAGCGCCTGGAGGCGGCGCCTCCGCCCTACCAGCAGCCAGAGGAGGATCTTAGCACGACGGTAAAGGCGGTGACTGACAGGTGGTGGCCCTGATATCATCTGTCAGTCACCGCCCATGTCGCCGTGCTTGTTTTCGTCGCACGGGGGAGACTTCAAGCACGGCGGTATGGGCGGCGACAGATAGACGGTCAGACGGACCACGCCTTCCAGCGGTAGACGCTGATGGGGCTTCGGCCTCACCGCGGTGTGGCGAACGCTGTAGAAAACCAAACGGGCTCCATCTGCATCACTGATGGCGGTCGCCGCGGGCCGCCGCCCGTGCGCCGCTGTCGCGCAGCTGCACCAACTCCGACCAGCGACATCGGACACCATCATCAAATCAATTCGTCAATCACCGTGTCAACCAACATTTGCGGGCCGGGCATACGTGTCGCACGTTCCGGCCCGCGTTGCTAAATGAACCAGACGCCTGCCGCCAGGGTTGGCAAGGGCCAAAACTGTTTTTTTTTTGTCGGTGGTTTTTACCTACTGCTTCCCCCAGAACCTGTCGGAGCTGCTTTATCCATCTACATGTGGGGTGCTGAGCCCTGACTGCGTCCCCAGGACCTGTCTCAGTTGCTGGTCTCTTACGGCGCACTGCCTGCCCCAGGACCAGCTGTTGAAGCTGCCATATCTGTCGACTGTTGAGTGCTGAACCCTGACTGCGCCGTCTCCAGGACCTATCTGGACAGCTCAGACCAGCTGCTGGTCTCTGACAGCCCACCGCCTCCACAGGATCTGTCCGAGCTACTGCGCCTGTCCCCGACGCGGACCGCCGAACTGGTATCCCGGCTCGACCCGGCTCCCTCGCCGACCTCCGAAGGTGACGGCGAGCCCCGCGCGCGTGTGACGTTTGCGGCTGAGCGGCGCGCCGGCCCCGCGGCGTTCCTGGCCTGCCTGGAGGTGACGGCGCCGCACGGACAGGCAGCGGTCTCCGTGAAGAAGAGTCTGACGGAAGAGGAGCGGCGGCAGCTCGGTGAGTCGTGGGTTGGAGAATAGAGAGGGCTGCGACTGAGTGAGAAGACGAAAGAGTTAAACAGAGATGGCCTGCATGGGGCTGACAGCATAATCAACTTCGATATTAACTTTAGGTTGCGCTGAAAGTTCTGATAGCCCATCTTAGCCGACTGAAGTTCTTAAGTCAGCATATCTAAAAAGGAACTCATTAGATAATGAAAATGATTATTGAAAGTTTCTTGTTAAGTAGCCTGCACTCGCAGTCCAAGTTGGATGCTGATACCACTTTTAGCACGACACTTTGGCTGAAGTTATTAGCGTGTAGGCGTAGAGCAGCCCCGCTGACCGTCCCTGTTCTACCTCCAGCTGCCCTGCTGTTCGGCGCGTGTCTCTCGCTACCGGAGGCGCCGGATGAATGGCGCGCGGCCGTGCTGCGCTGCGGCGTGCCGGCTGCGCAGCTACTGCGCCTGCTGGCTGACTGCTGGCTGGAGAGCGGCGCGCCGCTCCGACCGCAGCACCTGGTGGGACTGGCTGCTCTGCTGACCACTGTGGCGGCCCAGACTGGTGAGCAGGGACGGGACACCGACCGCGTGGACCGGAGGGGATTGGGTGATAAGATCGAGGAGGGGTCAGGGAGGCGCCAGGATATTGGCAGATTAGGGACGAGATATGCAGCTGGGAAGAATATCGGTGTTATCCAAAGTTTATTATTGTAAGCAACATATTAGATGGTCATTTTGTCCGTTAATTGTCGGTTTAAATGATTGACAAAATAACTAAGCCCTATATATTGACAATCGCCGACACTCCACAAACACAGTAGTGGCTGTTCCGTGTCGTAAGTCACGAAGTAAAAACAATGCGATACGTATGTAGATGGGCATAAAAGAAACATACGCTCACGTCATTCACCACTTTCACACAGATCTTAGGCCTGTCCCCCCGCGGAGTCCCTATTACGCTGCGACTTAATGTAACGCTGGAAACGAGCCGGGTCAATTAGTTCGATGACAGCCGGTGGAAGTTCGTTTAAAAGAGATGTTGCGCGATATAAAAAGGAGCGTTGCCCGGCTGCTGAGCGAGTAAAAGGAGGTCTAAAATGCCGGTCCTGTCGAGTGCTACGGTCACATCGTTGTTGGCGCGATTCACCGAAAGTCACAAACAGAGATGAAATGTCGGCCGGCTCGTCATAACAATTGCCTTATGGGCCACAGCCATTGCTGATATCTCGTACATACGTCGAGGACAGAGCAGTCCAAGGTCCTCTCGCGCGCGAGACACGTGATCGTACTTTCTGAGGCCAGTGATCACCCTGGTAGCAAAGTTGATCACGCTGAGCAGCCGTGAGTCGTTTTTTGCGGTACCACCGCCATATGCAGAAATACAGTATCTCACGCGCGAGAGGACCAGACCGTCGACAACAGTTCGCAGTACACCCCGCGGGAGGAGATTCCTCAGATGGCGGAGCAGGAGGCCAATACAACGACGGATCACGTCACCAACGTGTGCGTCCCAGCTAAGGTGGCGATCGAAGATCAAGCCCAAGTTTTTTACTGTCTGGCTCTCCTGAACGGTCTCCCCACCGACCCGTACGCTGACAGGGGATAGGTCACGTGTGTTCTGCCGGGTACCAAGGACGATGATTTCAGTTTTGGATGCGTTGAGCTTTAGACCATGGGCATGGAACCATGTAGACAGGGTGCAAAGTGTGAGTTCCATGCGTTGGATAAGGGAAGGAAGGTTGCGTTTGGTGTCGGATATAAGGATTTGGGTGTCGTCAGCGTACTGGGTCACATGAGCGTCCGGCGCGTGCAGGCTGAGGTCGTTGGCGTATATGGTGAAGAGGAGAGGACCGAGGGCAGATCCCTGGAACACTCCCATGGCATTAGGGAGAGGATCTGAGACCACTCTGTCACCAGAGGGAGATGTGATTGAAACGGATTGGGTGTGACCGGAGAGATAGGAGGCGAACCAGGCTGGGTGAATGTTGTACTGCTGGAGCTTGGTAAGGAGCTTGGTAAGGAGCCCCTAAGGGCTAAGACCCCCTGCTCGCCCCCCCCCCCCCCCCCCCCACCGCACTCACTGTGTGTGTCCGCTGGCCACAGCGCTGACCCTCAGTGGACCAGCCAGGCAGTCCTGTAACCTGCTATCCATCCCCCTCTCTCCATCGCTGGGTGTTACCGACCCAGCGCTGTGACTCTGCGGACCCGCCGGGCAGTCCTGTGAGGCTGCAACCCGTTATTTCTTTCGTCCCCCGTCCCCTGACCCAGCGCTGTGACCCTCAGCGGACCAGCCCGGCAGTCCCTCCGCCGGCACCGGCTCGTCGCTCTGGCAGGAGGTGCAGGAACAGATAGCTGAGGCGCCGGCTCTGCGGCGTGCTCTGGCCCTGGCCACCGTCTGCAGAGCAGTGGCTATCAAAATGGAGGAGCAACGCTACGCCGCCGCACTGGAAAAGGTGGGTGTAGTGTCGTATGAACTCGACGCGGCCGGCGGCCGGCGTCGAGCCGGCCGCGTGGGGAAGCCGGCGACCGACCTGCCCCGCGGCGGTCACATGGGCAAGGTGACGCCGGCTGGCCGTGGCCCGGCCGGGGGAGAGCTGGTGGAGCGCCGGTCAGCGACGGACGCTCTCGCGTGACTGAAATGTGCAACTGCTTTTATCATTAGTTGAAGTTGTCCTGTATCTATGTGAGCAATTATATACAACAGTGGGCGAGTTCGACAATATTGGGGTGAGGGACGCGCGGATCACAGTACATAGTAGGTACGAGTAATTGTTGAGAACACGCTTTCGGTCAGGGCGTATTTTAACATGTTAACTGGGTCGGCAATTGCCGACCCAGTCACGGAGAATGCCGACCCAGTGACAGCCGTTTGCCGACCCAGTTGCCGCCCCCTCTAGGATGCAGCACGCACGTCGCACATGCAGGCTAGGTGCCGTCATTCATAGTGAGGCTGCTGCCCTCCGAAATGATAATGCCGCCTCCTAAAGTGAAGCAGCCGTCTATAGAAAGTGATGATCCCACAACTCAATGTGACAGTGCCGCCCCTAAATCTGTGAGTAGTCCCACTCAATGTAATGGTGCCGCCCTTCTAAGCATCTGTGGAGCCCCTCAATGTGATGATACCGCCCCTCAAGAAGATGATGCCGCCCCTTTCAGTATCGGTGGCGCCCCTCAATGTGATGGTGCCGCCCTCAAAGTGCCGGTGGCGCCCCTGAATGTGATGGTGCTGCCCGCCAACGAGTCGATGGCGCCCCTCAAAATGATGCTGCCGCCCCTTAAAGTGTTGGCGCCGCCCCTTATAGTGTCAGTGACGCCCTTCGAAGTGTCGGAGGAACCCACCAATATAATGGTGCCGCCCCTCTAGATATCCACATAGCCCCTCATTGTGATGGAGCCGCCCCTCAAGCAGATGATGCCGCCCCTGAATGTGATGGTGCTGCCCGCCAACGAGTTGGTGGCGCCCCTCAAAATGATGCTGCCGCCCCTTAAAGTGTTAGTGCCGCCCCTTATAGTGTCAGTGACGCCCTTCGAAGTGTCAGAGGAACCCACCAATATAATGGTGCCGCCCCTCTAGGTATCCACATAGCCCCTCATTGTGATGGAGCTGCCCCTCAAGCAGATAATGCCGCCCCTCAAGAAGATGATGCCGCCCCTTTCAGTATCGGTGGCGCCCCTCAATGTGATGGTGCGTCCCTCAAAGTGCCAGTGGCGCCCCTAAATGTGATGGTGTCTCCTGTCAACGAGTCGGTGGCACCCCTCAAAATGATGCTGCCGCCCCTAAAAGTGCTGGTGCCGCCCCTTACAGTGTCAGTGGCACCCTTCAAAGTTTTGGAGGAACTCATCAATACAATGGTGCCGCCCTCTAACTTTCTGTAGCTCCCCTCCATATACATAATGGTGCCGCTTCTCAAACCATCCGTGGCGCCCCTCAAAGTGATGGTGCCGCCCCTTACAGTGTCGGTGGTGTGTCCTCAAAAGTCAAGGTGCCGCCTCTCAAAGAAATGCTGGTGTCCCTCGAAGTGTCGGAGGCGCTCCTCAATGTCATGTTGCCGCCCCTCAAACCTTCCGTAACGCCCCTCCACGTCATGGTGCCGCCCCCAATGTGCTCACGGCGCCCATATGTGATAGTAACGCCGGTCAAAGTGCTCCTGGCAGTGTCGGTGGCGCCCCTTATAGTGTCGGTGGCGCCCCGAACAGTATCGGTGGTGGCCCTCAAAGTGATGATGTCACCCTCAAACAAACGGTGGCGCCCTTCGAAGTATCGGAGTCCCTAAATATCATACCTATTGCCGCCCATTAACCCGCGCCTCACTGGGGTCTGTGTATAACACGCCCTACTGGGGGGGGGGGGGGGGCTATTCATAGCCCCCCTCCTCCTAACTCCGAAACTACTGGGCCGATCGTCAAAATTCAAACGGCGTCTGATAGCCCCGGAAAAACTGTCGAGCAAAACCTAATTTCATTGACCTCGAGGTCACCGATGACGTCACAGGTCAGGTCAAAGTAAAAATTATGAGCACTTTGGCTTGTTCACATTTTGGGCTCTGGCCGCCGTCTAACAAGTCAGATCAGGCTCATTTTTGGTTTCCACACTCGTGAACAGATGCTCTAGATACCTTGAGGGTACCAAACTTGTACTTTGATTTTCAGGTCAGGGTCAGGTCATCACAGGTCACGAAAATATTATATCATGCATCGGTCTCGTGACACATGTTTTATGGTCCATTTAGGCCATAGATTTCGAATTTGATGTCGTCTGTGTCATTCGAGGTCATTTTGAGTCGAATTTAGCTTAGGTCAGGTCACTTTCAGGTCAAAAAAGGTCAAATTTTGAAGTTGAAATTTTTCAACAAAAAATGTGTCTATTGGATGCAGTTTGAGCTCAGAAACACGATGGTGCCATTTATATTGGTGTACGATGCCAAATACGTACTGAAAATTTGATTTAAAAATTAATAATTGTGAATTTTTTGCAATAATGCGTATAACTTGGCCATTTTTTAAGATATTTTGCTAAAACTTACTAGAGTTAGTCATAATCATGCGTTCTGTCACATATATGCCGGTTTTTTCAAAAAGTCAAAACAAATATAAAAATATAAATTTTGAATATTATTATATAAAATTTTCAAAATTTTCAAACTTTTGAAAATTCGAGATAGCAGTTTGATAGCGCGGTAAATCCTGAGTCCTTTCATGCAAAGAAATTGGATCTAGCTTAAAACTGAGCTCTTGGGAGCGATTGCCGTGGTTCAATGTTTTGCGTCGAAATCGGCCGAACATGACGTCACTCTGACGTCATTTCCGGCCGACCTATGGTAGCTACGAAGTTTAAATTTTGACACAAGGTGTCAAATTGATGCAGCCGAAGGTACTGAAAGTTTGGCGTCGATCTGTCAAGCGGTTTGGAAGTTATTGCAGAAAAACGGGTTAACCCCCCCCCCCCAGTGGGGCGCGGGTTAACGATCTGTAGCACCCCTCCATATGATGGAGCCGCCCCTTAAAGTATCCATGGCGGTCCTTAAAGTTACAGTGCCGCCCCTTACAATGTGGGTGGCGTCCTCAAAATAAAAGTGATGTTGCCCCCCCCCCCCCCGAGTAATGTTGGCGTCTCTTTCTTCTTTAACTATCGGAGGCGCTCCTCATTGTCATTTTGCCCCACATCACTGCTCACATGGCGCCCTTCAATGTAATGGTGCCACCCCGCAACGCTCAAAGACATAATTGCGCTCCTCACAGTGTCGGTGGCCCTAAAAAAAAAATTGGTGGCGCGCCTCAAAAATCAAAATGATGCTGTCGTCCCTTAGCATATCTGCAGCGCCCCCAAAATGATAGTGCCTTCCCTTAACCGGCGCCGGGCTGAGTTTGTTTAAACCCCCCTCCCGACCCCTATAACTTGGCTACTTAGGCCACGTAGCGACACGCGGTAAGCGGTATTCGAAAGAGTGTCAAAAACTGCTTGGGTTAGTTAGTTAACCGTGCTTTGATTAGGTCAAGTCAAATGTCAAATATCAGGTGACCAGAGGTCATCAAATGTGAAATGTGGGTGAAATGTTGTCTGTTTCAATTCAACATTTATTGACAAACTGGCGCATAACTCGGGGAAGAATAGAACTACAGCACCGCGAAAAAGCGCATTCGATAGCTCTTCAACGTTCCTATGAAGTCCTCAGACTTGACCTAACATCAACGGCTTAACCTACAGAGCACAACTTGTTTAACCCGTGCCGGGCCGGGGAGGGTTGGAGGGGACAGTGGACCCCCTGCGCCCCTCTACTGAGCTGTTTTAATGAAGAACCTTTTTTCTGTAATAATTATTGACTCACGAAAGTTATGACATTGTTTTTTTTCAGTACTGTGCTCCTCTCGTCGAGATGCGTCGAATGAACTATAATTTGACATTCAAACGTCCTTTGGGAAATTTGAGCTCAGGTCCAGGTCATGACCTGGCTGGTAAAGGTCATGTTGCATATCAGTCGATTTGTATCGTCAAACTGAAATCATCTATGTAAGGTGTTTTCATCGCTCAGGCATGTCGCATGTCTCTATCAGAAGTTATTGGAAAAAACTGCTGGAGGCCTACCATGACCTGACATAACCTCAAGGACATAACGAGGGGTCGTGGGTGGCAATTTTCCGATTAAGTGTGTCATTTTTAATTGTTTTCTGATGTTTAAATTCGTTAACTTTGACATTTGTCTACCTATAAAAAGAGGCACATGCCCTGATTTTCTCCCATTTCCTTTTACCTAATGGATGGGTCGCAAAATTGTCCTTACATTTGGACAGAGACATCGCAATTTCGAGACTTACATTTAACCCTCGCCGGTTGATGCAACCCCCCCAAAGGTTTATCGCGAATAACTCGCGTAAAAAGCGGCCGATCGCAACGAAACTTTCAGTACCCTCGAATTGATCAATTTTACACCTACCCTGCAAATTTTATGACCCTGACTTCAATGACCTTTCACCTGTGACCTCTTTTCCGTGACCATGTTTGGCCGAAATCAAGATTCGGCGTATGTCGGCTCGCATTAAGCGCGCGTTTGCAAGCTTTTCGTGGTTTCAAACGTTCAAACATGTGATTTGATGTTGCTCCCATGCATTAGGGTGGGTGTCAAGGTCACCTGAAGGTCAGGTCAGGTCATTGACCTTTGGTGACCTCGGTTCACTTTTTCGAGTTTTACATGTTTCTAGGCTAGTTTTTGGAGCTGAATTCGAATTTAGCAACCATTTAAATATTTACGAAGTAGTTTTGGTGCCTTCGTAACATGTTACGAAGCTGTCAGAGGCGGATGACAGGTACTACGAATACCCGGTACGACCCCTACCGGTTGACCTGACCTGACCTGACCTGACCTGACCTGACCTGACCTGACCCGACCTGGTCTAAACGCTTAACGACATCATCTGTGATCAAAACTAACACGATATTTGTGATCAGCACCCCGGAAAACCCCTTAGCAGCCACAATTTACGACTTTCAAACAGGTCCCGATATTCCCGATTTTTGGGTCATTGACCTGACCTGGAAGGTCAACCGATGACCTAGGACCTTGAAATTGGGTATCATTGGCTTCCTCTCGTGACGGGCAACACGCTCGTTTTTTCTGCAAAGCTCTAGCTCCATCAGGGGCCAAACGCGAGGGGGGGTCGTACCAACCAACCTTGTGCCGTCGAAGGACTCAAAATGGCCTGTGCCGGCGAGGATTATATATACAGTTACACACTGTTTGTCTTATCAATCGCTGAAGTTATAAAGGGATCGTTCAGTCGGTATATCTATGGTGAGCATTTGCCTGTTCCGTGGCTCAGTTGGTAGAGCACCGGACTCCCCGCATTGTCTTCGCTTGCGTTTTGTCCGCCGGCCGAGCCGGAGAGAAAGTTACCGAGTGAAGGTCATTCAAATTTCAAAAACTCAATGACAATGTCACTGAGGTCACGAAAATGTTTGAGTAGGTAGGTATAACATTCATTAACCTGGGGGGGGGGGGGAGGGATGAACGTATCGTTGCAATACGCTGTTCATTACGCGAGTAACTAATAAATAAAAAATGTATGAGTTAATCCTTACTCCACACGCTCTCCCTCTCCATAAAAAAGAGAGTTAATTGTGTTGCATTTTATTTATACCTATGCAGAAAAATAGAGGCGTCAAAGGATATGGCCGAATATCAGCGACCCTTGCTGTGTAAGCAATGGGGTATGACAAGTGGGGGTAATGGCCCCGTCCAGCGCCCATAAAGTGGGCACACTCGTGCGACCTGCCGACCACTGTTCTAGATAGAGCCATAAAACGCCGTGAATATTTTAAGCTTGACGATACGAATCGACTGGTATGTAACATGTTTACCTCAGGTAAAATTTTAAAATTATTTTTTGTTAGGTCAAATTATAATTCATTTATCGCATTATGATGAGAGAAATACTATATCCCGGAAAAATAAACGTAATACCGCTGAGATTAGGTTGAATCTGAAATCATTACTTAGGAAGAGTTATAAAAGAACCGTCGAACGTGTCTTTTTTGGTCATTAAATATCAGTAGGTATGTCGCCCCCTCAGATGCCAAGTGCCGCCCCTATGAGTGCAAAATGCCGCCCCTAATTGTGATTGCCGACCCAGTGAAAATCCCTTAAAATACGCCCTGCTTTCGGTAGCTTGCTTTGGTGCGTACTTATGGAAATACTATCTAATACCTATATTTTACGTTTATCTCTCGTTCGCCACAGCCACTCAAACGTCATCAGCGACGTCGCTGCTCCATCAGGCCTCACAGCCCTGCAATCATCAGCCCTTCTCCCCGGGCGCTTCTCCTTTCCCTCTAGCTGATCCCCCTGACGTGTATCTGCCTCCTTTCTAACTCGCTCCGCCGGCACACCCGCAGCGATTCGGGAAGGCGGCCGAGGCGGGCGAGGACGTACCGGTACCGTCCCGCTCTGCGGCTGTCTCAGGAGACTGGGAACAGCTGACGGAACAGACCGTCAGCTGGGACTTGCTGCTGCACCAGCTGAGTGACGTCACCGCCCTGTGTGACGTCATACCGGCGGCGCACCGGGCGGACGTCACGCTGCGCGCCCTGCTCACCAAAGGACCTGGTGGGTGGCCGAGGGGACTTGCAGGGAGAAGAAGTGAATGCGCTTATCGGCTGTTGGTACGAGGGAGATTGTAAGAACACGAGGCGGATTCATAGGTAAATACTGAAAAACGGTCTGGTTTTGCGGCAATGAATTGTACGATGCCGCAGTATGTTGCATTAGTTTCAGAACAGCTGCCGCCTTTATGTTTATCACCAGTTCATGTTGACCGTGTTTGGTAAGATTTATTAGATGGTTACAGCGTTGTGACGCATAGCTGAACGGCCCTTTGTCCGCCAGCTGACTGCCCTCATCGTCTCCTGCTGACTGGCCCCATATCCCAGTTGACGACCCCGTGTCCCCCAGGCGCCGTGTCAGAGCTGGTGGCCCGCTGGCTGCTGGAGGTCGGTGTCGAGCCGGCCGACCTGGCGCCGCCCCCGCCCGCCGCCGCCCCCGCCCAGGAGGCACCGCCCGAGGACGCCTCAGAGGCGGCGGCGGCCGCGCCGGCGCCGGACGAGCCGCCGGCGGCTGAGTGGGGCAGAGAGGCAGCGGAGCCGACCACGGAGGAGGGCCGGCGCCGGCAGCGCATACAGGGTCAGTGGAATTGAGGGGGCAGCGCATACAGGGTCAGTCAGGGCAGGAGGGCAGCAGATGTAGGGTTAGGGCTGGCAGTAGGGCAGGGCGGCACATGTAGGGCAGCTGATACAGGATGAAAGGGCTAGCGGTAGGGCTGCGGATACAGGGTTATTGGGCTTGCGGGGTTGGGTGGGGTTCGGCAACACGTGTAGGGCCGCGGGCCATGGTCAGTACTAGCAGGCTAGCGGGAGTACTGTGGTAAGTGAAATGTGTTCAGCTCCAGACCATGCGCTCCCAATAACGCCCAGGCTGGATTTCACATGTCGTTTCCTAAATTATCATGCTCACAACATTCTGCCTGAAGGGTGCCCACTCTTTAAGACATTATGCCCAATTTCTGGACGTCAGCTGGCTGCGTCTGTCCTCAAACAGGGCGAGTTCTCAGACCATGTGTGTGTATCTTCAGGCTAGGCATCCTCCAACTGGGAGTCCACTGTCCTCAGACCTAAGACTGGGTGTATCTTTCCTCAGACTATGTGTGTATTCTCAGACCAGATGGCTGACTACTGTCTATCATCAGACTGGGCGAATCTGTCTTCAGTCAATGTGTTTGCCCTCAGACTGGGTGTATCTGTCCTTAGTCTGGGTTTACCAGACTGGGTGTATCTGTTCTCAGTCTGTGTTTACCCTCGGACTGGGTGTATCCGTCCTCAGACTGGGTGTGTTTACCCTCAGACTGGAAGTATCTGTCCTTAGACTGAATATGCTTATCATCAGAATGGGTGTATCTGTCTTCAGACCGTGTGTGTGTGTTTACCCTCAGACTGGGTGTCGCCGCTGGCCGCGCGGTTCCCGCACAGTGTCCGTCCCGACACACTGCTCCTGAACCTCGCCTGGGAGGAGGCCGCCGCCTGGAACCGGCACCGCGAGCACACCGACCGGCTGCGCAGGGCCGTCGCCTTCGCGGCGCACATCGGCAACGCCCACCTCAGATACGGTCAGTCCGCTGCCGGGCAGACTCGGGGGATCAGTTGGTGTGCAGCGAGGGGTTTTAGATAGGCTTGTCAAAAATTGGGTATAGGTTTAGACTTGATGAATGACTGTGTTGGTCTGATTGTGTGATTGATAGTACCTATTTCTCCTAGCTGCCCGTGTGTGATCATACCACCGTTGTTAGATTACCCATGGATTGTGATGGTTATTGGTGATTACATGATCTATGATTTTGCTGTGATATGAACTGAATTATTCGCATGAAGTAGGTTCTGTTAGTAAGCCAGTTTTTTAGTATTGCAAAGGGCATTTAATGCAATAGATGACAAGACAAGTTGATTAAGCAGATGACATCCTTGTATATAAATATTCAAGCACCAAAAGAATATGAAATTGGTGTACCTACCAGTGCTTAAACCTAATGTTTATTATTTCATCATCCCAACTGCAACATGCATCAGCCCTTCAATGAAAGTCTTGCCACAGACTTAGAATATATTTCCTCTGTCAGGTTAACAATATCTGGGGTAAAGCAAGCTTCATTGCTGTAAATGGCGCTAAGCAAAAATATGGATTTCACTTTGTACAAAGTCACATGACCAAAATCATGCTAGCAATGGCACATTTGAAATGCAGACACTTGCTAAATGTATCATATGCTAGTAACTGCAGACTCTCCTTGTTAATATTCTAGAAGATGCCTATCTACCCAAATAAACAAATAACAGTGTTGGTAAAAATAACAAACAAAATAAGTAAACTTATCTAACACTTCTGAGTAGTAAAGCAATAGAAAAACATCCTGTCATGATAATACATAAGTGAAATGTAAACAAGTGCAGTAGGAATAACAGAATCTCTGATTGGCAACACACAACTTGACATTCTAATGTGCTAAATCACTCTTTGTTCTCATTGTCATCTTGAGATGCTGGAAACCAGACTTGCTTGAGGGAGGTGTCAGCTTGGACACAATGTAAGCAAATGGTTCCACCAAGGTGTTCCTATCTTTGATGCTGACATCCCACAACCTGACCTTTTCTGATGCTGCCCATATTTGTGCCACTGTCGGATCCACCTCTCTGTGCGAGGCCTGGTCTGCCTTGTTGCCGAGAACAACTATCACTGCATCTTTACGCTCTTTGTTCTTGTCCACATCCTTCTTCATTTCTTCCATGATTCTGAATGATTTCTCACTAGTCACAGAGTATACAAGCACATATGCATCAGCAAAGCTCAGCAGATGTCTGGGAATTTCTTTACATCTCTCGTCCAGACCTGCAGTGTCAAAGATGCGTAATCTTTCTTGTGTTCCCTGTTCACTTTCTATTTGGGCACAGTAAATGTCTTCAATGGTTTGGTCTGGAGGTTTTCTTGAAGCCACATTTCCATAAATTAGATGCTCCAGGATTGATGTTTTCCCACATCCTCTGGTTCCTGCAATGACAACTTTGGTATCTCTTCCCATGATCCTGACCCGTGTCACCACTTGACTAGAGATTCTAGGCAGAATATCTTGTTCTCCTTTGTGTAAATAATTTCACACGATCACAGTCTGTCGTCTGGCGGCCGCGGCCGGTCACGGCTCACTGGCAGTGGGCGGCTGTCGCGCTCCGCTCCGTGGCCCCATTGCTGCGCCCACAAAGCCGGACGTTATGCGCCGCGTGAGAACATCGCCAGGGGCGGGGTCAACGCTCCTTACCGAGACCGCTCGCCGCCGCGCCGCTCCGCTCTACGAGCGGGAAAGATCACGAACCACGGCTGAACCTCGTGGCAGTTGATGAAACTCGCAAAATAAACTGAAATGATCGACCCGTGAATTATCAGCTTGCGCGTGTATGGCGAGGCGGCGACATTTGCGCAGGTGTCAACAAACGTCAAGGACAATCAGCTGACAACGCCCGACGTCGGCGATATTTTTCGTCTTCCTTTAGCGGGCCCCATATAAGGACTGGTTCTCACTAGAGCGATTATGCATTCAATGGAACTCAAACAAAACTGGTTTTGCACAGTGATTCTGTGCTCAATCCATGACAATTTAGGAACATTGTTAAGAGGAATATTTCGTGTAAACCTCGGTAACTGCGTGTTTCCGGAAGTTTTGCATTCCGATACTGGAAACGGAATTCGATGGGTGATGGAAGGCCTACTTCAAGTCACTAGGCATTGTAGAGCCTGAGGGGAATGGGGATAGAGCTTACAAGATTTCTTTTTGGGTTTATGCTTCGCCTCTTATTTTTATATGACAAAAAGACACACCATGCCGGCAACCCTCCACCCTCCATCATATGTAGTAATGGCCAATGGGGCCGCCGGCCCGCCACCAGGGTCGTGTCTGATATGCCCTTCCTCGCTCGCCCAGGCGCCTGCTGTCTGCTGTGGTCGGCCGTCCTGTGCCGTCCGTGTGCGGCGCTGGCCGGGCTGCTGCAGCGCTCCGGACACCGGCCCGATGACGCTCTCTGCCGGCGCGAGCTGCAGCTGCCGCAGCACCAGCTGCCGTCCCTGACGGACGCCTGCAGCGAGCTGCTGGAACAGCTGCTCAAGGTGCGGCAGGGACGGTGATGGTCTGAGATGCTCTTCTAGGTGACTGGTTCCTGGGAATTCCGAGATTTGGAGGGAAATGTGCCCGTTGTCTCAGCGTGCACGTTATATTCAAACGAAGCGTAATTACCTTAGATGAATACGATAAGAGTTCACGGGTCAGAAAAAAATGTTTGCAGATTTTTTTTCGTATTTTATTTTGAACAGCCCCTAAAGTTAGCACCCTCCAGTGGTAACCAATGACCATTCTCGGGTAGATTGGGTGCCGTGTTCCTGCAAAAAGCCTAGTACGTTTTGAAGGGAAACCAGAGATGTTGCTAATAGCCTAATCTCCAGCCTATCCTTCTTTGATGGCGGACCGTGGTGCGGTCCGTCTTGGACTCCGCTGTTCGCCTCTCGCAGGGTGTCCCCTCACCCCATGTCAGTCAGGCGCTTCAGGACGTCTGCTTTCCTCTAAAGACACGGTGTCGTTTCGTTCAATGCTTTCCCCTGTGTCCGTCAGACGCTGTCAGAGACTCTAGAACTGCCCCCTCTACACCCGGCTGTCTAACTGCCCCCTCCCTGTGTCCATCAGGCGCTCATCACCAGCGAGGTGGAGCGGCCGCCGGTGCTGTACTCGGATAACCTGTGGACGGCGGCGGCCGGCCGGGCCGACTCGCTGCTCGCACTGGCCGTCCGACAGCGGCCCTGCTCCGAGGAGCTGGTCTCGCTCCACCTGCAGGCCGTGGACGTGATGCGCGCTCAGGTGCACCTGGACCTGCGCGGCGTCCACCCCTACGGCTGCTTCACCGAGAAGGTCAGTACGGGGGGGGGGGACTTCACTAAATAGGTCAATACAGGGTGGGGAACAATGAGAGGGTCAGGCCAGGGTCAGTTCCAATCACGGACTTCGCCGAGAAGGCCAGTCCGTAATGCCAGACTTCTTTTAATGTAACATATCGCTTATCACACAGGCTTGTACATCGACAAATACCTAACTCTAGAATGTTCAATATTGTGAGTGTCTGTTGCTGCTGAGTTGGTTGGTACCCGAGTTCCCTCCATGTGTCCCGGACGGACCGGCTGCCGTCTGAAGGTGCCGCTCGCTCCGGCAGGACGGCGGCCTGCTGTTCGGTGAGCTGTCGGCGCGCTACACGCCTCCCCCTGCCGTGGACCAGACGGTGCGCTGCCGGCGCGAGGCGCTGCTCCAGCGCTGGGTGACGGCCGCCGTCGGCCTCGTTACCGAGCGGCCCGACGGACAGGTCAGCGGCCCTGGTTACCTGCAGTCGCGCATAGTACACTCGTGATATACACAGCTAACAGATCACAGCGCTGATGCTATCGGGTTTGGAAATTCTATGTCATGCATTTCTGATGACTCTTCTGAACTCTGAACCACGTCGCTTAAAATTGCACAAATATATTTGCTGCTATGCTTTCCAGTCTTAGTGTAGCTCGTCTCATGGCCGTAGTATACCTCTTCCCGCTCTCATGCAAGGCCTTTTTCTAATTTTATAACGTACTTGATTCCCACAATGAGTGCGGAGCTAAAAGTTTTGGGCCCATCGAAACTTCTATTTTCGATGAACCAACACTGCGCAATTCTTAGCGTGATCGTTGGCCGGCGCCTCAGCCCCGCTACTGGCCTCTGTCTCACTCGCCCCGCGTGCGTCAGGCGGAGCTGGCCGAGACGGCGCTGTGGGAGCGCCGCTGTCGGGAGGCGGCGCGCGGCTGGGACATCGCTGAGGACGTGGTGCGTCGCCGGTACGCGCTGGACCTGTACAGCGCCGGGCACGACCTCGCCGCGCAGGAGGTGAGTGCGGAGCGACAGCCGGCGGAAGATGGCAGGTTTCAGGGGCTGACTGGTGTGGCGGGGAGCTCAGCGGGGAGCGGGAAAACCTTTTGAGTTTTGTTTTGACGTGAGAAGGCTACCTCGGGCTAATACCATTGCAGAGCTATGGGGTAATGGGATAGCCTTGAGACATTGGACCGAGCAAACCACGGACGTTTCGTCGCAGGGCGGTCCGGTCAGGCAGGTCCAACTTTGGTTTTCTATCTGTATTTCGGGTGTGGGACACCTAGCGCTTAGTTCTTTGACGACAATACTCGTAATGCATGTCGCTTTCGACTTCATTTAATCCACACGGCGTATCTCCCGTGCCAGGTGCTGCTCGGTCTGACGAGCGCTGCCGGCCTGCCGTCACAACTGCTGCTGCTCGCCGGTGCCCGCGTCAGGCACTACATCCACAGCTCCAGCAACATGATGCCGCTGCTGGCCAGGCTCACCATGAACTGCGCCGACTTCATCGAAATCGCGGTATGTACTCGACAAACGGTGGAAGCCTGAATTCTGCTGTTCGCTCGACTCGTAGTTGCTCGCGCCTTGCGGCGCGGTCTTGTACATTTCACGGATATGTCAGTTGAACTTAATGGACAGCTAACTGGCTGAACAGTGAACATGCGTGTCCAGCTATTCCGATATAACGCACATGTATCCCGGTTGAAAGTATGACAGTGTTTGCCGCTGTAATTTGTGACACTTTTCACGCCTGTCGCTGCCACAGAACACGCCGCTGCAGTGTCCCTCGGTGCCTCTGGAGCGGACGCTGGCCCTGCTGAGGCACGTGGTGCGACTGCAGCCCGATTCGGCCTCAGAGTGCCGACTCGCACTGGAGATGGTCGACCTCGTCGAGTCGCTGTTCTCCGACGCCGCCAAAGGCTCGCACTAAGGACCCGCGGCCGCCGGCTCCCCCTCCGCTGGAGTTGGTGGAAAGAAGACGGTGATATGGTTATCAAAGCTGCAGCTGAGGCGGATGCGAGGAACAGAAACCGGATGACACTGAGAGGTTAGCTGGTGGCGGCGCGCCCCGCAGGAGTGACACGCTTGCCGCCTGTCATTGGCCAGATGCTGGACACCCGTCCAGCGCCAGTAGGCTAGCTGCTGCTCTGTAGTGCGCTAGTTAGTCAACGACATGCTCCCCTCCGGACCCATGCAGGTTATTCTACACAGACCAGAGTGTTTCCGAAACAATCGCCAGTGAAACACACGGCCCATCGGCGTTCCAGATGCTGGCGGAGGGAGAGGGATATGACCGGACATGTTTATACGATCAAGTAGCTGTCTGAAAAGTCTAGCTAAGGTGCTGCAGATGCCTTGTCGTTTGCTTTCACACGTTGTCCAGGTTGTGCTGTTCACGAGGCTAACCATTATTCTTTCCGTAGATGTGCGGGACAAGGGTTGGTCCATATCTTGCCTGTTGCCAGAGTACTGTCAAGATTGGGACTTGTTGGATCTAGTGGGTCGTATAAGTATGCAGTTATAAGTTAAGATGGGGCTGATATTGACACGAAGAGGACTGGGGTGACTACCATATACTTCCATGCTTTATTGTGATATTGAAAGTGATGCATGGGGGATCCAAAAGGGAAAAAGTGAATGGAAGAGAATCACATGTATTTTGGGCGAATGCTGGCTTTAAAAAGTGCACATTTAAAGATGTGAAATATACGCTAATAGTCCTACACTATTTCATGCTTTCCGCTTCTTTCAAAGAAAAAGCATTCCGAACACAACCCTTCTTAGAAGTAGCATTTCCGCATAACTGACTGTTAATTGTGTCGCCCATCGTAAATTTTATCATTCACATACAGATAGCGTATATTTGGGCACTTGTAGCGATTATGATTGCCATGAATCGTGTGATTGATGAATGACGATGCGTTGGGGTAAAGTGAAGCCAAAAACTACCTTCCGGTCAGCCATCTTCTTCGTCCTCTTCGTTGAACGATAGCAATGATGCGTTTTTCACTTTCTTGGACGAGCTGGCTTTCTTCTTCTTTTGCTCCTGTTCTGCTGCATCGTCACTGGAGCGCTTTTTCGGCTTTTTGAACCGGATCTTCCCGTCGGCTGGGGGCTTGTCGTCTTCTGCAATTACAAAGGTAGTCGGTGTAATGACATTTGGAAACTGCAGCACGGACTGCAACTCCTACAAGCCTCCTTTCAGATACATCTGATCGGCATAGTGTTTGTTACCGCAGTCGTGTTTGGGCATATATTACAGGTTCGGTGGGACCAGTTAGCCATTGAAGTGGGGACACGATTACGAATCGTCCGATTCGTTCAAGAGTGGCCGGCCTAGTGAAAACACTGGCCAGTATGGGGGTCGAACCCATGACATTCGCGTTATTAGCACGACGCTCTAACCAACTGAGCTAACCGGCCGCTAGCAGAATGCTGTCAGAACGCATCATATTTTCACCGGCTGTGTTACAGTCTCACTATCTACAAGAGCATTTGCTGACAATGGATAAAAACACAAAAGCTAAGTCCCGGACGCCGAGCAGTTACATTACGATGCTATGATTGAACTAGACATGAGGTGATATTCCTCAGTGAAATTACATTCTACGCACCACAGCGACATCTGTTTCACCGCCCCAGACACAACTACAGGGGGAGCTAGTGAGGTGCGTTGTAATGAATCGATGGAATCAAAACAGCCGATTTATGATGAAATCTTATACATACCTTCTGCGGAGTCTAGCTCCTGGGCGCCGTCCTCTTTAGCCTCCTCTGCCTCTTGCTCGGTGAGATCTCCTGGTTTGAGCACCACCACGGTCGGTTTCTCGTCTTCTCGGTCCGTCTGGTTCTCATCGAATGCCAGCTCCTCGTGCTGGAAGGTGATGGGAGGATCACAGGGCCAGACATTTACGGTTGGTTGTTTGTTTGGGAAGTTGGGGGCTTGACTAAATCCTCGGTGTGTTAAGCAAAGTGTGGACAAGGTAACTGAATAATAAAATACCAACTAGCTTGGCATCAGACAGTTCAGGTCTCCAGCATTGACTGTTTACAATATTTTGATCAGAGTAGATTATACCCACCTTTGTATCAACTGAAGGTCCTTCCTTGAAACCAGCTTTCTTCTTAAATGCTGTCAGAAATGCAGGCTCAGGAGGCTTTACAAATGCCACTGCATTTCTTTTTGACATTTTTACTCAAATAATATGGAGTAAAAGGGTTATTTTTTCATTCAAGTTGCCTTACTTGTGTTTTCAGTGTGTCCCTGGAACTTACAATTGAAGGTCAACAATATCACTATCTAAGTATGACTATACAACAAATATGTATCGATGCATGTTACTCACATTTCACCAATGATCCCCATAATTTAACAAATGAAGAGAAGTACCTACCTACTGTGTACCACTGCACCTCACAGACTATCGTTTTGTAGAACAGTGCAATAGAGAAACAGTGTATCAGTATATGCCTGCTCCTTGAACACATTGTCCAAAAATACTAAATAGTCATGGCAAAGGAAAATGAAAATTGTGAGCAATCGTATGGGAAGCCACCTATATTTGGCTTGCCAGATGCTTATAGGCAGGTGACATATCTGGTTGATATGTATTAAGTGGGCACTAGCAGTGCACTAGCAGTCCATGTCAATATCAAATATACCACTAACTAGGCATACCACTTGGCGGCTGGCGCCATATAGCCTCGTTGCTGGTGCGCCCTTAAACACCAAATCATCATCATAGGCATACCACTTTCCTCAAATTAGTTCTTTGCTATGGTTTTGCTAGGGTTTGTTATGCTTAAAATGATTAAAAAATATTTTCTATTTATAAAATGAAGATATAATATAGGTAGCTTTCTTTTATATGGGAAGGACTGTTTTCCGTCTTTGATAGAGGCTAGAGTGTTCGCAGCAGAAGCCAATTACACATGGACCAGTCATATTACCTAGCTCTGACCAACTGCATGTTGATTGGCTTCTGCCCCATGTTGCTGCATTCTTGTCATTCTTTGATAAGGGGAACATTCCTGTGAAAGGGAATGATTTTGGAACTGAAAATGGAATATCTTTGGCTCACTTTAAGTGGTATATTTCCTTCATTAAAAAAAAAAAACAAACTAAAATAATCATGATGTCGCCTTCCTCAAAATGAATGCTAGGTAATCATCAGTTAAAAATTAACCCATAATAACGTTGACAGGAAAACTGTTGCATGAGCATGACAGTATGAATGGACTGTCTCGGTCTAGGACTCTATAGTAAAGCCATTCAAAAATGTAAATAAGTATACGAGTTTGAATGGTTTGAAACGTTTTTAGCATGATTATAATTATAATTGTAACGAGAGTTATAAACAACTGATTGATTGAGAAAGTTGGATTGGTTTTTTGCTAATAACCTACTTCTCTTAGGACGCCGGTGAAAACAGGGCGCCGGAGGGCATGAGATATGGCACACTGCCATATCCAGTCACGTGATCTCATGTGAAGTTTTCGTGAAGTTTTCCTTCCTAGCACCATTCGTGACGAAGGATTCGAAGGAAGTTTTAAAATGTTTTAGTAGCTTTAACAAGTTTTCAAATTTAAAATGTACTTTTAAAAGTTCGGTTAACTTCAAACCGAGCACATAAAAAAATCGAGGCAGAATTGCTATATCATCTGTAAGCACGTTGTCTACCTATATGACCAGATAGTTGTCACTGCCTAGTGGTGCAGGTCGCAGGCCATGCTTTTAGAGATCCCAAAGAGATGGCGCTACGGTGCCCGTAGTATGCCCTGAGGGCCCCTGTCCGCAACGTCAAGTGACACTAAATTATAAGTAACGTATCGCAGTGTGTTTGAAAGGCTTGCAACTTTGCCTTTTTTAGTATCAGGTGATTTTCTCCTAATATGCTGTTCTTTTTTTTCTTTTGACGAATGTCTTGGACACTTGTATTCACATCTGTCAGTATCATATTGCAAGGAACGTAGTTAGAAGTTCACAATCCATTGCCGCAAACAGCGCCCCCTAGAATACTTCCGCTGGGCTAGGACGCCACCTATGAATGCGAGGTCTGCGCGGAATGAGTGCACAATCGAAAAGTATTTATGGCATATGCGTAATTGCAACTATGGACTATATCTACCAGGTACGTTAAGGCACAAAGATTGATAGACAAGTCATTTATTTTTTTTTCTAAGCCGCCACCCATTATCAGGTGACCAGGAGTGCCCCCTCCCCCCTTCGCAATTGCAATGCATTAGTTATGCTATGCTATGTACGTGCCTAATGTTATTAGCTACGTTAGTTATTGTCATTAGTTATGCTGTGATGCCCATATGTGTCGTCCAGTCCATTGATGTGGTGTTCACACTTCACATGTTTTGCTGTCTAAGGTCTTGTTGCTTGTCACATAACTAGTGACATACCTATGACGATTTACCACATACCGTTCCGTCGTTTCCTTTACATCCTTAGGACATTCAAACCCTTCTTCTCCACGCCTCAACCCCCTGGTTCGGGCTGGACGGGCAACTTTATTCCATGCGGGATTGCCCATAAGCCGAGCACGCCCGTAGCCTGGGGGCTGGGTGGCCTGCCCATTTAAATGGGCTCAGCCCCGGCGACTCACTAGAGTGCTCGCCCCATGCCCCCTCCCCCCAAGTCATATCATCCTCCCGGCTCTGCAATGGTCTCATCGGACCGAAAGGGCCTAACCCAACGAAACAAACAAACAAACAAACAAACAAACAAACAAACGGTTTATCACGCATCTCATATCACCGTTAAGGCAGCATCGGAAGCAAATTAGCGATGCATTCCATTGTCAGCATCACTCTAGAATGTGACAAAACATTGTGTGACTTAGTCCGACATCAAAGCAATAACTTCCGCGGACCAGCCGCGATGCGTGACTGGTAATCACTGCGCCCAATGATCTGACTCGCTTCATTGTTCAGTGACCGGTCATCTATCACCCACCCTCAGCGCGCAGCGCTTCGCCGGATTCCACGCTGACCAAGCCACCGTTCTCGACACCGTCGCGCCGCTGCCGTGAGACGGCAGGGAGGAACCACCAGTGCTCGTAGAGTTTGTCATGCCGCATAGTTCTCTCCGGATGTCCATGCTGTGAGAAGATGGGTTGCGCAAGTGGTCAGATTTCCATTGTGGTCAGTTCTGGTTCCTTAATTTGTTCGACACAGATATAATATAAGTTATAACTAGGTAACACGTGAAATAAAGCATGGAGAGTGAAATAAGCACACAACATAAGAAGAACTACTCATAAGTGTCATTACACTTGGTCACTCCACATAACCACTTACGTTTTCTACTATGTTGATGTGCTCTCTCCGGCAGGCTGTGGCTTGCTGCGGCACACGGGGCAGAGCCATTCTGCATCTTCAACTGCAAAGGGAAAAAATATTAGCCGTTTTCACGACGGGCTGTCCGGCGAATGCACCCAATTCTCACCAAACCTGCCCCTATTATCACTTTATTGCCAAATTGTCCGAAATTGTCCAAATTGTCTTAAAACCAAACATGTCCCTCTTCTCATGCTGATGTAGGAATGTGGTGTTATTTTATTTTAAAAGCTTACCATGTTCATGTCTCAGATATTGTAAAAGCGAGATTGAGGTAGTTAAAAACACATTAAACATTCATAAAACAGCAAAACTCAAACTCAACAACAACACTCTTCCTCTCTCTCTACCACTATTACTATTAGTTCCTTAGTTCAGAGTGTGCCCAATGTGTGTGTATCACTCTTTGTAACAGCCGCGCAATGAATGTATAAATTAAATTCTGGTTCACCGTAGCAGGTAATAGCTAAAAAACCACCCATGGGCCAAGTCGAAATCTCGGTCACGTGCTCCACGAAAGCGAATTTCAAGAGCCTTGATCAAAACGCCCCAGGCGCCCTGTTTTCACCGGCGTCCTTCTCTTACACGTCTTACACTACGGGTTTGTTATGAACTGGGAAATGGCGCACAAGTGACATTCGAAAGATTTGCGATTGTTTTACTGCAATTTTTTTTAGTCATGACTAATTCTTGGCATTGTGCATGTTTATTCCAAATTGTTCACAAAAAGGCAAGATTATCGATTAAACACCGTGATTTTCTGTGGTGCAGCCAGCCTGACAATTAATGTGCCGCATCGGGCAGTGACATATCACCATTTTAGCTGCAAGGTAGGCCATCATGAGGCCATCGGTCACTGTTTTCTGTCTGTTTATTTATCTGGATCCGTGAGAGGGGCACGAAGCGTTTCGGCGGTGTCTGTCACTCTGTGTCGGTGAAGCGAATTGGACTGGACAGTTGTGCTGCAGTTACTGTGCACTGGCTGATTGACAAGGTAAGCTGATCTGTCGAATATTGTAACAGCGAACTAGCGTCGCTTGCATACTGCTATATGGACTGTCCGTTGATCTGACGGCGCTATGACGATCCATAAGTCAATGTTTTCACTTTTCACACTTGAACTAGTATCGATTTTATGACCTGTCGGGCTGTGGCTCTTAGTTGCTGGTCCGGGTAGCTACCAGAGTCGTGCTATCTTTTTTTTAGACATTGGTATTTTGAATTTTCATAGTCTAATATTTTAGTCTCTTGAAGTGTGATAAGATGACTTACGAAACTAACGGTTCAAGAATGGTTTGGGGATAATGACAGTACTCACCTTATCGTGGACTAGAGACTTGGCCAGGGAACAGTCTTCTGCCGTGTTTAACGATCTGCTGACATTGCAGAGAAACATTTTGTGTACCAGCAACAATGAATATTTCGCTGTCTGGAAAACGTGTCCTCATCACCGGCGCCGGCCGAGGGATCGGCCGAGCCTTGGCGATCCGCGCGGCCGCCTGCGGGGGTCACGTGATAGCCCTGTCCCGGACCCAGGAACACCTGGACACCCTGAAGACCGAGTGTCCCTCGGTGGAGACGGTGGCCTGCGATCTCAGCGACTGGGAGGCGACACGCAAGGCGGTCGAGGCTCTGGGACCCGTGGACTGTCTCGTCAACAACGCGGGAACCAACACTCTCAACAAGTTTCTCGACGTAACGCCATCTGAGTTTGATGATGTCATGAACGTCAACCTGAAGTCAGTCTTCAATGTATCCCAGGTGGTGGCCCGAGGTATGATAGCTCGCGGCGCCGGAGGCGCCATCGTCAACATTTCCTCGCAGGCGTCTGTGCGCCCGCTCCACGGCCATGCAGTCTACTGCGCCTCGAAGGCGGCGCTGGACCACCTGACGCGCGTCATGACGCTCGAGCTGGGACCCAAGGGGATCCGCGTCAACTGTGTCAACCCGACCGTCGTGCTGACTGACCTGGGTCGAAGTCACTGGTCGGACCCGGCGCGCGCCGAGCCGATGCTGAGGGCGATCCCGATGGGCCGGTTCGCCGAGGTGGAAGACGTGCTCGGCTCGGTGATCTTTCTGCTCAGCGACCACGCGGCGCTTATCAGCGGGGTCACGCTGCCCGTGGACGGTGGGTTCACCGCCTGCTGAACCGCCGAACCGAGCACTGAACCGCTAAACCTCCGCACCGCCTACTGAACCGCCGCAACGACTACTGAACCGCCGCACCGCCACACTGCCTGCTGAACCTTCCCACCGACTACTGGGCTGCTACACCGCCTGCTGAACCGCCGCACCGACGACTGCACTGCTATACCGCCTGCTGAACGCCGCACCGACTTCTGATACATGCGATCGACGATGCTTACGTACTTCGCGTGGTATTGTGGTCGCGGCTTTCGTACTGGGTTTGCCATACTAATTTGTCATCTACTCGGGATACTCGGTCGTATTCTCTGTGGAATACTTTGCTTTCGTAGGGAATGAGCCGCTCAATAGATGTAGCTGTGCTGAACAAAATACAAAACTAGAATGCTGCACTTGGACCACGTGATCCATGAACTAGCACTGATGACTTTTTATCTTGCTCGGTTGTACGCATTCAGGCCTTGCATCAATTGTTACTGGGTGCCTGTAGTTTCAGGAATAGCAGCACAGTGATTATATGTTTCCCACCTGCACTATGTTCTTATATCGATCTTATTAACCAATGGCCGTGAATCGAACCTCTCAATGAGGCTTGTTTTGTATTCTACAACAATATATTTTGCCATTAATAAGGTTCTCTCTTACCATTGGGATCAGCAGGTACTTTAGTACTATAGCTTTAACATTCGCAGCGGGATACACTAGTTCGAAGTTCAAAGTCAGTCTGTAGGCTAGCTTGGTAGATTGCACTTAAAGGGACTATCCCACCTTTAACATGGGGTTTGAGTTGAGATAGCCAAGTTTGCGGCGAGGTTCAGAAACCACTATCTATCTAGGTTGCAACCCCCGCGGCCTCTTGGTGTTGAAGAAATTCGTTCCCTTCATTTGAAAATGGGCCTTGTACAAGGCCCTATCTTCAACATGGAGCGACCGTTAGTGTGACGTCACCTCGTTTAGTCATTCTGATTTAAATGGGTTTGTTCGTTGAAGAGTCGCTTAAAACTTGGTCTGAACTTTGTTGTGGTGCCTACAGAGTAAAAAGCATCAGCTTTATGACAGTAATGTGGCCTGGGGAAGGAGGTAATTTGGGGCTGTGACGTCACATATTTGAAAGTTTGTGTTTGGAATATGGGAAGCCTAAGATGTTTAATGAAAAATAAATGCCAGAACCGTGTTCCTGGTCATCCAATCTATAAAGTCGGGCACAATTTAACTGGTTTTAACAACATTTTAGAAGGTGGGATAGTCCCTTTAATATTTGAGCCCGCTAGTTTGCCAATGAACTACTTAATAGGTACGCCGCAAACTACCTAACACACGGTGCGTCGAAAATATGTTGCCGCCCATTGCAAAGCGTGCGTCTAGCTACAGTGCAAAGCTGATGTTCCCATGGCCATCTTGGCTTTTAAATTCCAAAGCTCGATGAGATCGTTGATCCAGAATTTGAACAGCTGTACCCTCAGCCATTAGCCTCTTCGTTTGTCCGAGTGCGCCGTTGAGGCTCAGCCCGTCCAAATAAACCTCTGCACCGGTCCGCACGTGCGTTACGCCGTTAGGCGCTCAATTTGGTTACCGGTTCAGTTCAATCTGGCTCAAATCCTCTTCTCAAAACCCGGTTAGTGGTTACCATTGACTGTTGCGCTCAGAGCACGATAGTGACCTAGGAATCGGATGTCGAACATACCCCCAACGCTCGTTGGGGGTATTTGCTACCCCCAACGAGCGTAGCAAATAGCTATTATAGTTACATAATTTGCAAAAACACACTTCAAGATCATGGGTCAGTGGAGAGTTATGGTTATATGCTGATACCCGCCTCCTCTGATCTCAGAGTGAGTTCTCAGCTAAAAAGTGTCATCTGAAGCAGCCTGAAGCAGGCCGCCACCACTATGAGTTAAAGGGACCCTCCCACCTCCAAAAAAGTTAATGAATTGGCATGAAAGTAATGTCGCTCGGTTCAGAAAGAGCAAAAACGAATATCTACCAAATTTCATCGAAAAATATTCACCGGTTTTCAAGATATTAGACTTTTACTTTTGTTTACTTTTTGGGATCTCCGCTGTTCCTAGCGACTTTATTTAAAAGTGCGGCATTTGTTGCGCGCAAAGCAGCATATACCACCGCGTGCTACAAAACGTTTTAGTCAAACATTTAACGGACGTTCGAAAGCCTGATGACGTCATCAGATTCCCGTAATGGTTAAGAGATAGGGACCACGCTGGTCCCACCCTGCAAGTAAAGGGAAGAAATTTATTGAACACCATAAAGCTGCGGGGGTTGCGACCAGGATAAATGGTGGTTTCTGAGCCTGGCCGCAAACTTGGCTATCTCAACTCAAAACTAATGTTAAGGTGGGAGGGTCCCTTTAAAACCACGCCTTTCACTCTCATAACCATGTCTCGGTCTGGTGGTTCGAAATAAATAACTGTACGGTCATTTACGGCTCGGGTCCAGGGGCGTCGTTTTGTATAGGCCTGGTAGGGCCCGAGCCCTACCAATGTTTATTTGGGCCCTACCAGTGTTCGCTGAGCTCTACCAATCTTTTGTCACTTGGTAAAAAAAAAATCAAAATAAACAGATAAGCAAATAAGCATATATGTACATTCGTCACAGATGTGTGTGGCCTGTGGGCCGTAGGAGCTGCTGTCGCGAACCCTTCGCAAGCCGGCAGGGACACCTTGCCGTTCCTTAGGGAACGGCAAGGTGTCCTCACTCCTCAGGCCGGCAAAGGGTCTTCAGAGGCCGGCAGCACCTTCAGAAGTTCAGTGGGGTCCTTAGAGAACGGCACGGTACTCTCAGACTCCGGTGGGATCCTCAGAATTGCCGGTGTGGGCCACGCAAAAGTCACTGGTGGGTGTCCGTCAGATGCATATGTGTGGGGCTTTCAGAGGCGCCGGAGTGGGACCTGCACAGTCGCCGGTGAGGGCCCTCTTAAGCGCCGTTTCGGGGCCCTCAGATACACTGGTTTATGGCCATCACAGATATGCGTGGGACCCTTAGAGCTGCTGAGCTGAGTGCTGGTGCGGGCCCTTCATAGGACGACAAGGGGACCTCAGAGGTCGGTGGTGCCTTCAGGAGCGCCGAGGGGGTCCCTTTAGACCGGAATAGTATTCTCAGACGCCACTGGGGCCCTCAGAGTCACCAGTGTGGACTCAGTGGAGCCGTCAGAGTCGCTGGTGTAGGGCCTTAGGAGCCTTGATGAAGACCCTCAGAACTGGGGGAGAAGGGGCCTCAGAAACACCGGCGTGGGCTCTCAGAAACGCCGGTGTGGGCTATCAGAGGCACTCCTCACAGTTATTGGGGCCCTAAGAGAATTGGTGTTGGACCATCACAGGAGGGCATGCAGCTCGTAGAGCCGGCTCCTAATAGGCCGGTAAGGGCCCTCAGAGGCCACCAATAGGCCCTCAGAGCCAAGGCCACCAATGGGCCCTCAGAGGCCAGCAAGAGATTCTCAGAGACCGTGAGGGGCAGGCTGGTAAGGGGCCCTTGGCGGCCTCTTAGGGCCTTAACCTGCGCCCTGCTGGGGGGGTGTTTGAACACCCCCCTTGTGGTTTTTCGCAAATATCTCAAAAACGGCGGCGCGGAGCGCCGCCGTTTTTGGTACACCTTATCATACATCAATTCTACACATTTTGTGAAAATTTCAGATCAAGGTCATTCAAGGTCAGGTCACCAGGTCACTTGAAGTGACCTCACCTCATAAAAATTTTCAATGTCTGTCATAGCTACACCGAGTGACCGATCGCTTTGAAACTTTCAGCGATTGCTAAGAGCAATAGCATGTACAAAATGTATATCTCAGAATTTTGATATCGATGACCTAAGGTCAGGTCAATTTTGCGACCTCCCCATTATAAGTCAATGGGAGAAAATTGAAATGCGCCTCTTTTGGATGAAAGACATTATAAACACTCCCAAACACCGAATTACAAGTGTTTTAGACACACTGAACTTGAAAATGGTGTCCGTGACCCTTGTTTATGCCCTGAGGTCATCTTAGGTCACGAATGGTATCTAACAGTTTTTCGCAAATAACTTTTGATAGAGGCATGCTAGAGCGATGAAAACGCCTTAGATGTGTTCAGCTCGACGATACGGATCGACTGATATGCAACTTGACCCTTTCCGGTCAGGTCATGACCTTGACCTGAGGTCAAATTTTCAAGTTGACCTTTAAAGGTCAAGTCATAATTCATTCGACGCGTCTTGACGAGAGGAACACGATGCCGGTAAAAGTAAGCTCGTACAAGGCTTGGGTCAAAAGTTATTGCAGAAAAACTGTTTTCGAAAAAATCGGCTATTTTTGCAGTTTTTGCCCCCTGCAGGCAAAACCGTTGACGTTAGGTCAATCTGAGAGAATTACTCAGAAAGGGCGTTAATAGGGCTATCGAATGCGCTTTTCCGCGGCGCTATAGCTCTATTGGTTCCCGAGTTATGCGTTGGCTTCTTGGAAATTTTCGACATTCGACCTGGAAATCGGCGAAATTTTGCCTTCAATGACCTCTGGTGACCTGACCTTTGACCTGACCAAAAAATTGACAGAAGTGATTTCGTCATTATTTTTTACGCTCTTTCGAACACCGCCTTCCGCGTATCGCTACGTGGCCCAGGAGCCGAGTTACAAGGGGGGGGGGGTGTTCAAACACACCCCCCCCCCCAGCAGGGCGTGGAAATCCAGGACCCCCAGCAGGGCGCGGGTTAACTGGTGACAAGGGCTCTAAGAAGCCGGCGTGGGGCACTTACGAAGATCTTAATACGCCACTTAGGGGCCCATGAGATGCTCTGACGAGCCCTGTGGGGTCCCTTTGAGACGAAATATGGCCAGCGTGGACCCTCAGCGGCCGATTGGCGCCGCAGGGACCCGAAGGGCCCCCTGGACCCGATGGGAGGGGCACGCGCCCCCTGTGCCCCCCCCCCCACTTGGCTACGCCACTGGAATCTATCATGCTATGTTTAAGATCTCTGCAAGATGTATCCCCCGTTTGCTGACACTGCAGAGAAAAGGCAAGCTCGAAAGGAGGCTTAGCGGGGTGTTTGGTCCCTTATCGAATATCTAGAAGATATCATTGACTTGTCACCGTAAAGGAATTGTGGGCGTCACACGTTGACACTAAGGGACACCGTGCCGAGTTGAGCAAGTGGAAGCACAGTGCACGCACACCGAGTAACGGCCACCAAATGAGTGTAGCGAGTTGTATAATTTGGTTGCGTGTATAATTTGGTTGCGGCGACTTACCTGTCCCGCCAGGGTGAATGGCGCGGCTGCGGCAGAACTGTCGTAGCGTGGGTTGTTGAAGGACGCGGGGGTCGTGAAGAGGATGAGATTGGTGATGTTGAACGGCGGTGATGTGTTTGAGTGAATAATATAGAGGCTCGCTACCACTCTCTCCTATCGGTGACACTCCACGCCAGCTGTCACCGATAAGTGGAGCAACTTCTTGACGACTTTCTTACCCGTTCTGAACGCCCACGCTCCCATCAGAGCCGTCAAGATCCGGAACCCTACTGCCCCTTTCGTGTCCGACGCCACTAAGGATTTGATGTGTCGCCGTCGGGGGGCGCTAGCGCGGTACGGGCACGGCTCGAGCGAATACCGCAACGCGAACAGGGCGGTACGCAGCGCTATCCGGCG